GCCAACTCTCTTGCTAGTAAACCCCCACAAGATGACAATTGCATCCACCTCAACACAAAAGGAAGTTCACAGCTTTTAGCAGCTCCCCACCCCCACACACAAACAAAGAGGCAGTTGGCAGTTAGAAATCCCCAATCATTCACACATCCCCACTCCCCAGGTAACGACCTAATTTACATATGAATTAATGCTAAAAGACTAGCCAATTTAGCTTCCACTTGGCACTCCCACTGACAGAGGGTTAGAAAAGCCTGGGACTTCAAATAACTGAGAAACACTGACTTATTGAAAGATGTAAAATCGATAAGTTTCATTGGGGAAAAAATAGATCAATGGTGCTGCTCCTGGATGACTTAATTTATCAGAAAGTTTTATCCTGGCAAGTATAAATGTGTGGGAAACGTTGACATAAAAAATACAGTATGGAACTTTTTACAGTGCTGCTTTAGTTCCTACATCTTTATGGCTGTCCAGATTGAAGTTTGGGCTAATTTAAGTTAATTATTTTTTTTGTATATCAGAGGCAGCTCAGGTTGAGCAGTTTGGAGACAAAGAGTAGTCTGAAGTGGTGGGAGCATGCGAAATGGAGGAAGTGTTATTAAATGTTGAAGGGAGCAGCGGAGGGAAGCTGGCCTTAAGTTTGTATTTGCTTTAGGGTGGCCTTACCTATGATACTAAGACTTAAGATGTTTATAATATTAAATATAGTTAAGATAAACCCACAAAGTTGAATAAAAAACAAATAAAAGTTTGGAGTTACAGAACTCTTGTTTACGTACTTGTTAGATAAAACCAGTTTAATTGACCAAAACAAATTTTAAGGTTAAAGAACAAGTGAAAACGATCTGGAAGAAAAATAAATGGAGACAATCCATTTTATTATTTTTACATACAAAGGTACACTGAAGCAGAATTTAAAAAATGTCACATTTGATAAAATGATAAGATTTGTGATTTCTGATCCTCCATATCGCCTTGCCTTCCATACAGTTGTATGTAAATGTTCAAATCTCTGGAAGAAAAATCTTACAATAAAAACGCTGACCTTATAAAAATGGCGCCTTGGTAGATACGTTCCTTTTCCGGTTTTTGTCTACGTCAGTGTGACGAGATACGCACGGACGTTCCATCAGTTGGCGAATGATAACAATAAACAACCCCGAAACAAGGGATACGCGAAGAGGACTTATCGCTGCGATTCGACACAAAGCTGGCGAAAATATGAGTTGAGACGGATACCGTCAGCTGGAGTAAAGTCTCGAAAAGTATCGTGGGAGCTTCTTGGGTCCTGACACAAAGGATTTTGTAGTTTTTGTGTCCACCTTAGGGAGAACTAGAGTTACGGTATACCCCTTCCTTAGCCCCTTGTAGCTAGCTGTGGCTCATTCCTTGTTTTTGCACACTTTGTTTTAGTCTGTTATGCAGTTTCCAGAGGACTGTACTCGCACTCGTTCTCCTCCACCACCTCTTCGCTCCCTCTCCCCGCTCTCTCTGGCCCTATGTCTCGCTGGTTTTTCCCCTGGTCGGGCTCAATCAAGAAGCGGGCCTGTCGGTACCTTTTACAGCACTACCTCGGTCACTTTTTGCAGGAGCGATTGAGCCTCGATCAGCTGGGCTTGGACTTGTACAACGGCAGCGGTGTCATCAAGGATATCAACCTCGATGTTTGGGTGAGTTTTTAACCGTGAGGAGAAGGTGATCTTGGCACGCGAGCAGTAGCCATCAAGTGTTTTTGTCGGACTCGTGCTCCCTCGACTATTTCGCAACTACGCTTGAATTCAACAACAATCTCCAGCGTCGGGCTCCCAGCCTAGGTCACATTTCTTCGAGGAAATCCACTCTCAGGAAACGCACCACTAGCTCACGAGTTTAGGTTTACCTCAGCATAAATATATATGCCCATGGCACACTAACTATGCACTTCCTCAGCTTTATATGTCTACACCCAGAGTGATGAGGCAAATGTGAAACCGCATATTTCAATTGTTTTCTTTTACTTTTACTTCTTAGCAGCTGCTTACTAACTGCCTCCTCTTTACAACAGGCGGTCAATGAGCTTTTGGAGTCCCT